GGGGGCCTCGGGCGGAGCGAGACCTGGGGCGGGGCGGAGCGAGACCTGGGGCGGGGCGGGGCGGGACCCGGAATCAGCGCAGTTCCTAGAGACAGGGCGGGGTTTGCGCGTGCTTTTCGGGACCAGGCGCAGAGCGATGGCCTGCGCGCTGCTTCTCCTGCTGTCCGCGCTCTGCGCGCTGCTGCTGCTGCTCGGCCTTGGGCTTTTCCTGCGGGCCGACAGCGACCTGACCCTGCAGTGGGCTGAGCGGAGGGGCCGCCGTCCAGGTGAGGACTCGCGCGGCCGCTCCCGGGCGCCCGTCCTCCCTTCCGCCGGCCCGCGCTCGTCCGGGGCCCTCCGGGTTGCTGGAGCCTGTGGGTCCCCAGGCGGCGCGTTTCCCAGGGGCCGCGCGATGGGGAGCGAGGGGCTGCCGGGAGGGGAGCTGTGCCACTTTGTCCTCTGTCCCTGTGAGCAGGTGACCAGGAAGTGTCGCCTGCCTCGGAGCCTCCCCGGGCGCTGCCAGCCTGCAGGGAGCACTGCGCTCACTGGACTGGACCGGGACGCAGTGCAGGGTCAGGGAAAGACAGGGTGACAGTGACTGTGCCCTGTAGGCTCGGGGATTCTTTTTCCTGCAGTTGTTTATCCTCCACTCCTTGCTCTCCGCGGTTTTGAAATCTGATGTAATCCGACTTGGCCGCCTACCTAGTTACTAGAATAAAAGTGACCCAGTGGAGAGGACTGAATTGACGTTTTGTCTGTAGCAAGACCATTCTTGGTACACCGAGGGGCATCCTGCTGCTATTCGGCTGTTGTCTGTGCTTTGCTTCACGCGTGTGTAATACAGATGTGTGCTCCCTTGTTAAACGAGTGCTCTGTGCAAGGAGGGGCGTGCACAGAGCTTTAGAGACATAGCGTTGTAAGACTGAGCTTAATGGTCTTACAAAGAAGTCATTGTCAGTCCTGGTTTCCAGATAAAGAAATGTGTTCAGAGATATAAAAGAACATGTGCAAAGGTAGCTTTGGATCCTGAGGGACTACGTGGAGCTTCCTGGGCCAGGTTCCAGTAGGAAATTACCCAAGCTTGTGATGCAGTGGGCTGAGAAGTTATATAACTAGCAGTTCAGAAGCTAGACTATGTTTTTTAAATGGCCACATGGCCGGGGGTGAAAATTAATTCTCTGGACTGGAAAAAATCTGCTAGTACAGTATTTGTACCCCTTGGTCCTACCAGACAATCTTTTCCGGGTCTGTGTGTATTTCTCTGGTTCGGTTTCCTTGGATATAACATGTATAGCCCTGTGCTCTGTTCACGGAAAATACACAACACATATGCAAGGCCAGCATTGCAAAAGTGATAGATACTTGGGTGCGGGCATGAGTATGCTCAGCAGGTGCTCCACCACTGAGCTACGTCCCCAGCCCCTCTCTCTCTATAAAGCAGGAATCCCACATACACTGCAACTATATTCATCCAGGACATACACTTTAATGACTGCTACAGTTCAGCCAATGGAAGGTGTGTACCTGTTTGCTGTCCTGTGGGTGTTTGTGTTTCGTCCTTAGTGCTTTTGTGTTAACTTGGACTTCAAGAATCAAATTAAATTATATTTTATTATGTAATTGTTCAAAACTTCACCCATCAAATTATGACCAAAAAATAAAGTGATAACAGTATTTGACTAAATATATAGTGGGTAGTGAACTCATTATTATTTCTTATATGAAGTAAAAGTTATTTTACTAAAAGTAAAAAGTTTTTTTCTTATATGAAGTAAAAGTTAAAATTACGGTCACTAAAAATAATTTTTAAGAAATTCATTTAACTTTTCCAATTGTTTTACTTTTGAAGAAAAAATTTTGCAGATTTTAGATGTAATTACCTTCTATGAATATGGTAGCATAGTTTGTAAATTTGACACATTAGCATTTATCTAAGTAAATAAGTAATATCGCTAATTTTAGCAAATAGTTATAAAATTTTAATAACTTACATTTTAATATA